TGCCCTAGAGATAGCCCAAACTAAACCTCAGAATTTCCAAACCTCCAAAGGCACATATATCTGTTGTGGCATGCACATGGCCAGTCATGTGAACTTTTGTTGAGCTGTATTTATTACCTATATTTTAGTACTTAATTCATCAGTAATCTTCAACTTGGTTCTAAATGAAAGGCTTAAACATTAAATTGTTATGTAAATCCTTGTTTTGAATACTTATATGAAAAGTTAGTAACTAAATATTTCAGAAAAGACAACAAAGATTTTATAAAGACACACACAGAAAATCAAGAGGGAAAAAGAAAAGAAAAAAAAGGGAAAAGGGTGCTTTGGCTGCTGCTGGTCTGTAATCATCTCAACATATCTGTCTACACTGACCGAAAAGCATTTAAATAAAATCTACATTTATAAGTATAATTAATTTAGTGGGTTAAAAAGAAAACTGATAGAATTTGTGGTGAAATTACAGACTTAGGAAATACATAGTAAGAACTTTTCATCTTGTGGTCTCCATGCCAAGTCATGTTTATTTATATATATGTAAAAAGATGTGTGTGTCTTTATTTCTAGTACATTATTTTAAAAACAAGCTTAAATAGAAGGACAATTTACACAGCACTTAGTAGTACACACTATTGTGCACAATAAAACTTATTTATGGGTTGTTAAAATAATCTTGGAAAGAAGTTAAAAAGACTAAGAGTGAAATAAAAGCAAGGGACAAACAAAGCCATGGAGAGAATCATGAAGTCTCCACTGTAGAAGTTGACCTTACCTCACAAATGTTTGGCTAAACCAGTGCTCACACCTTCACAGAGAATATCATTACACAAAAACGTATTAGGTAGAATAAATGTCATTTATTCTCAAAATTCTTACAAGTTATTTAGCCCATTTAGCTTAATTCTTCCATGGGAAAACAAATTCTTTGTAGCAAAGTTCCTTTTTGAAGCAAACCAACTACTTCAGCAAAGGGCATAAAGAAGATACACTGAAACAGTTTCTTACATTGCTTTACTGTCAAGAAACAACAATGCCAAAATAAATGCATTTAAAATGGCAATACTTTAAGATTTTTCAACACTTCAAAATATATCAGGCTTAAATTTTTAAATTTACACTCATTTAACCTAAGCTCTGTTGACATTTAAGCTCACAGAAATTGAAGTCATAAAGTTTAGTTATTAAGTACTATCAATAATAATATACAATGCTGATGGATACACGTAACACATGAATTCACATCTTTGTCTCAATTTATCTGTGTAATAGTTCAGGAAAATCTTTACTGAAATTTATCACCAAGCTCTCTAACTTTTGAAACTTAATAAAACCAACCCTGTATCACAGAGATTTAAAGTATATTTGTTACCTACATTAAAAAGCATACTGCTTATTTTCTAAACCTGTCATTTCCACATGAATCTTTAAAATACAGTGAAGAAAAGGTGGGAAGAAAGGAAATAATGCAGGAATATACCATCAGGCAAATAATTTATCATTTGTTCAATTCACACAGCAAATATGTCCTGAATAGCTACTGTGCATCAAGCACTATGCTAGATGCCAGGAATATAGAGAAGAATTTAAAGACCATCCTTATTTTCATGGTAATTACAATCTCATAAAGAGACTGACCATGATCAGATAATCCTAAAATTTAGTACATAAAAATAAATTTATATAAATGCTCTATGAAAAGGAACATAGCTCATGAAAGCACAGGGAAGGCTTCAGAGAGAACAGATGGGTTGCAAACTGAAAACTGAAAGCTGAGAAAAATTACGAAGGTGAGAGAAGTAGTGAAAAAAAATCAGGAAAAGACCCAGTAGTAGGAGAGAGCTTGGTACATTGAAGAAACAAAGGATAGTGTGGCTAGATGTAGAGACCAAAAAAGGAAGTAGTACAGTAAAAGGCCAAGAGAAAAGGGGCCAGATTAATTTTTCAAAGTAATGAATGTCTTAATTAGTTTAGACAAAACACCTTTTTTAAAAATTATAAATTCATTTTAAGATCATGTAAGAGGAGGGAAAAACCACTACCCACTCAAAATAAAAGATTTGTATCTAAGAAGCTGGGGTGTTTTGCTCTGAGTCTTCCTCTGCTTCTACAGATTTCAGTTTTAAATTATAGTGTTCAAAATGAGTATGATAACATAAAAAGGAATCAGTATCAGGTGATTAAATAGGAAACATTCCTTTCCAATATTTTTTATGCCTACTGAGTTCCATCCTGTTTTAAATACCATTTTTTCAAACTGTTCAATCATTTTAAATTTCAGAGAACCAACTTAATTTGAAAACTGGAAAAAAAGAAGAAATCTAGCACTTATTCTGCCTTTTCTGCATAAACTGTATTGCATGAAAACAAAGATGTTGATTCAAAAAAAAAGTCTTTATAGAAGTCAAACTAATAAATGAAGAATGAATGATATTAAAATAACACTATTTTGTAACCCCTAAAAAATAATGATCATCTATGGCTACCTAAAATCATTTAGGTGAAAAGTTGATAGCAAACTTTACAATGGGTGAATTAGCTTGATAATACTTCAACTAATGATCAGTTTTTTCACTATAGAGAGAGAACCAGACACTATATGCCTTCTAATATTATGCAAAAGAAAGTACAATTCTTTCAAAAAAAAAATTAAATCCAAGTCTGATCAAGCTTCTGTATTTACTAGCTCATAAGAAACACAGGGGATAGAGGAACATGTTAAATGACACCACGAAGACGCAGTCAGCAAAATGCAAAATGTAAAAAATTCTGTAAGAAGAATAACCTACTTTATTCATCAGATAAATTACAAAGCAAGGAAAGGACAGAGAAAAAAGAAATTACTGATTAAGAGACTTAGGAAGTCTGTCAATTAAAAGCAATATATGGACCTTGTTTAGATCTTGACTCAAGCAAACCAATTGTACAAAAAAAGCAAAACACTTTATGACACAATAGGAAAAGTATGAATACTAATTGGACATTTAATTATAATAATTATTAATTTTTAGGTGTAATAATAGTATTGTGGTTATATTATAAAAACAAAAATGTGTCCCTATCTTTCAGATACATATATATGCATACTTACATATATTTACATAGATATGATGTACAGGAATTGCTTCAAAATAGTCTGGGAAAAATGTACAGAGAGCTCTGGCATAGATGAAATAAAATTGGCCTCGTAGTAACTGTTGACACTGAGTAATGGGTACATAAAGCTTCATTATACTCTCTTTTTTATATATGTTTTCAATGCTCATTTTAAAGTTTGAAACAAAATTAAAAAGAAAGAACTGCCCTTTGTAGACTGTTAACCTCTGAGGAATTATTATTTAATATACTGATTGCCTACCTATACATGAAACACTATTCCAGGTGCTAGAGACACAGCATAATAGGACAGAGGAGCATTTTAAAATTCCCTACAACAAAGCAACTGACAAATAAAATAGAATTATTGCATAACTGCTAATACAGAGGAAGAAGTAATAAGAAGCATATAACTCCAAAGATTTACTAATAGTATTTTATAAATATGAACATGAATAATAAACAAATGGATTTCTGTTTCGGTAATCATCTCCCATTACTTTGCACTTCTGATCCATAGCTTTCCAAATGTCAAAGTGGCAAGTCAAAGTAAAAATATATTATCTACTTGCTTCCTTCTTTCTACACAAACACTGATATTATATTGTTTGGCAATTTTTGGCCCTAGGTCAGACAAGGCCCAGAATTGTCCTTTTGATCTCTAGCTCTGTATTCTTTTCATTACACAGCACTACCTACTTTTTCAATGATGTCTTCATTAGACTAATATTAAAACAACTTGCATTTTCTTCGGATACTAGGCAAGCAGGTCAGATGTGTACACCCCAATCAACTAATGACCCCATTAGAACTTGGGGTAAAACCGCTACTCCACTTGCCCAAGGGCACACATTTCCAGGCAGAGAAAAGTCTAAAGGAATCCACATGATTTGCCTTCCTAGACAAACAATTCTGTCTACAGCTCAAAACTCTCAGGTTAAGCGTGTTTTCTTCACCAATACTAAGCTTAATTTGGCTGCTACTTCCCACGGATTTTGTCCATAGGAACTTGATGCTAGTCAGTCTCATTCTGGGCCATAATATCCTATATAGTTCCATCAAGACCACAGCCTGTGAAATCAGCATGTTCCAAGTCCCTTTCATAGTTACCTTTCTTTCCCAACTGTTAAGTATCCTAAAAAGCACCCTATTTCTTCTAAATTTGACATCCAGACCATAAACACCAATAAATGTTAATTCAGAGATAAATATATTAAACATACATTAAATTTGTTGTTTTTTAGAATTTTCTTCCATGAACCTTTGTTAATAGTTAAAATTTCATTTATATTCTAATACTTATATTTTCCCTCAATCTAGACTCTCATTAAATCATAACAAGTTTGAGAGAGTAAATTTGTCACACAAATACTTTATATGTAGACATAATGCCAGACCACACAAAATATATACTCTTCTCTAAAATTATGTGAAATGTTACTTGGTTTTTCTCTATTCTTCTTGATGCACTGTCTTTGAACTGAATCCAATCCTTAAAATAAACATGAAGAAATCCAACATAAATAAACCTAATCAAAACAAACTCAAAGGGTCACACTACCAAAGCAACAATCCTTAATATAATTTTCTCAAAAACTACTGCAAAATAGTTTTTTAAAAGTACCCATAAAAGAGTACCATAACATAATTGCATATTTTTTTAGAATGGTTAGGGTTAGGATAAAAAAATAAAATTAAAAAAACAAAACAATAATAATTTTCTAAGTCTAAATAATACATAACAGATTACTAAAAACAATTAAATGACAACCAACAATAATTTCAAATAACAAAATTGTCATCACTTTACTGGCTGCTTGTTATTCATTTTTGTCAAAAATTGTCCTGCAGAAGTCATTAAAAAAATGGCAACAGTATCTACCTGAAAAATATTCTGAGAAACTTACCATCATTTTGGCTCTTGCCCTTCACCTCCTCCTTCCACGACAGGATACTGCTCAGGGGAACATAGTCCCTTATGTATTCTTTGCGTCTTTCCTCTAGGGTCATCTTCAGTAAGCGTTCTTGCAAAATAAAAGCAGAATTTCCATTTGTATTTAACTTTTAAGATCAGTAATTATTTTATCATTTAAATATTAACCATGTTAAACTACCAAAAAAATCAATGTGGGCTTGAGAAACACCAAAATGCAAATCTAATGACTCTATTTCTGAGTGTTAGAAGTTGTCAAATTATTACTATATCAGCAGGGGGAAAAATAAGGAAACGCTTTCAATCAACATCTACTGACAGTCTACTGTGTACTGGGTGTTACGTTTATGCACTGCAAATGCAAAGATCCTTGATCTTGAGAAGTTCACAAGGAAAAAGAGGAAATAGATAAGAGACTAATGGCTACATAAATAAAACACTAAATCCTAAAACAGGTATGTATAAATGCTAAGAGCACAAGAAAGGCAGCCACCAAGATATTTTCTTAATTTGAAGATGCCATCAACAATAAAAGTGCACTTTTAATTTAATAACACCTTTGTGGAAGTAATATAAATAGTACTTTAAATATGCATCTTAATTACAAGATTAAAAATATTTTTAAATGCATCTTAGAATTAATAATTGGTGTCATTTATAAAGAACTCACTGTGTGCCAGGTATTTTATATGTATGATTTTAAATAATCTTCCCAACAACTCAGCAAATAAACAGTATTAGTATCCATATTTTCAGATAGGGAAATAAAGCACATCAAAGTTTAGTAGTCTGTCCAAGGCAAAAGAACTTTCCATGAAAATCCAGTCAAATATCTCATTAGAAGCTACAGCCTATACGATTAGCCACTAGACTGTATTACCTTCTCAAGAAAAGCTCCCCAAAAGAAATGATGTGTATGCTGGTTTCTAATAGGTAGAATTTTGCCATGAAAAGGTAAGAAGTAAGGATACTTCAGACTAACGAAGCAATGTAAACAAAGATAAGGTGATATAAAAAGTTTAAGGAAATTACAAGATATGCTATGAAAAGAGAAGTGGCCACAGAAGTGAAAAAAGTAGCTTAAAACAGAAGTTAAAACAAAAATGTATAGGAACTTATATACCATGCTAAGCAGTTTAACCTTTAACTTATACAGTAGGTCACTAATATTCAAAGTTGATTATGTATATCCCAGTAGGTACATAAAATTATCCGCTAGGATACAAGAAAAAAAATGCATTAAATTATACTTTTAACCTAAAGAAATAGGAAGAAATTAAAAATTACTAATAATGTATAAACTGACACTGCCATCTTCATTCATTCTAAAAGTCAACTGTCTTGTATCACATACTTTAACAAGGTTGTATTCTCAGTTTTCAGTTCTCTTTCAGCATATTACTATTACAAGGTACTAAAGTTTGGGTGAATGGATTTAAGGATAGTATCTAGTTTTAGGTAATTTAATACTCACAAAATAATCACTTAAAAAGATAAATGACATGAACATGGCCCCACTTGAACATGAAAACAGTGGGCCTAATCACTTCTAAGGATGGACTTAATATATGTAGACTCTTCTGTTCAAGGAATGCTCTTCTAACTGTTTTCCCTAAACATTGTTCACTTTGAGCATTTACCCTTGTGATTTTGTATAACCCCTGTATGTGTATCTTCCTGAGCATGGAAACCCAATTTGTCATCCCATCCAATCATGTATTCTTTGGATAAAAACTACCATGATCTTAGCCCCTCTTGAGCATATATTCCATTGATCATGTATAAATCCCGAATATGTACTTTTGGGAGGCCTGAGCATAGACCTAGCTAGCTATGTTCCTTCAGACAACAGATCCCTCCTATGATACTTCTGAACATGGAATCCTTTGGCATAATTCCTTCTAATCATCAACTCAATGAGAGTGGATGCTTCTGATCATGGACTGCACTAAGAATCAACTTCCCTAATCATAGCCTCTTTTGAGCATATACCCACTTGAGTATGTATATCTCCTATACATGTACCTGCCTGAGCATGAAATACTTCAGCATGGACCCTTCTGATAATGACTTGCTTTGATTTTAATCTCCCTTGAACATAGCCCCATTTCAGTATGTGCCCCCTTCACTATGTTTAATACTTCAACATGTACCCTCCTGTGCATGGGCTCACTTGAGTACAGATCCACACTGATAATGGAACACTTCTGAGAATGAACCCTCTTGACAATGGAATCTCTTGTATGGAAGTTCCTGAGCATAAACAACCTGAGCCTGGACCCTCCTGAATATGGAAGCAATGAGCACAATCACTTCTAAGTATGTAGCTAAGAATTATGGACATTTCTGCTCATGGAATTCTGTAAGTATTCATTTCCATGATCCTAGTTCATCTTGAGGATGGATCTTTCTGATTTTGTTACCCCTGTACATGTAACTTCTTGAGGATCAAAGCCCTAATTGTAGACTTTCCTGATCATGACCTGCTTTAATTTTAATCTCCCCTGAACATAGCTCCACTTGAGCATGTAACCTCTTGATTATGTGTAATACCTGAATATGTACATTCCTGAGCATGGAACCCTAATTGTGGACCCTCCTAATCATGTATTCTCTGGTTATAAAGCACCATGATCTTAAATATATATATATATTCTCCCAAAGAAATGAACTGCAGGAAGTATTAATGTAAACACAAGTGAAAAAGAAAAAGGGAGCCAACATTTTCTCCTGCTTCTAAAACTAGCTATTCTTCAGTCACAGAGGTAGAAAGAACAAAACAAGCTGTATTTTAATCAGATGTGATATATTCAAATCACAATACTACAATACTCAAAGGTCAACAACATATTGAAATTCAGATGCCTACAGGGCATTGAAGTTGAAATCAAGAATCTGGAACTCAGGGGAAAGGTCTAGCCTAGAGATTGTGGAAGTTATAACCTAAACTTTTGGTCGTGTAGGAAGGGTAAGGGAGGGGAGCAAACCTCAAAAAAACAACATTTAGGGACTGGACACAAAAAAGAAAAACGAAATAAAGTTTAGATGTCACTGGGAGCACAAGGTGAATCAAGGTCCAGCTGATGTGGAAACCAGCAGAGAAAAGAGTTTTAGTATGGAAAAGAGGAGAGATATTACCAATTGCTATAGGAAGATCAAAAAGAATAAAAATTAGTAAGTCACTGGTTTTATCAATTGGGTCACCAAAAGCACTGAAAAGAGAGCAAAGTGGTTAACAAAACTGTCTGGGTTCTAATCCCAAATCATGCAAATCTATACTGGGTTACTTAAGCTCTTTATGTCTGTTTCCTTTTGAGGTAGGTTGGTAGGTATTATTCTGAACTTACAGATGAGGCAACTAAAACAGAGAGGTTAAATAATTTACCTAAGATTCTACAGATAGTAAGTAAGCAGCATACTACCTCAGAGGATTATTGTGAGAATTAAATTGGATCCCATGTAAAGTACCTAGAATAGTGCTGAGCAAGACTCAAACAGTAACTATTTTATATTAGTACCACCATCATTGTTATTACTGACTGACTTGGAAAACATGTTTTATTAGCGTGTAACTGAGATCCAGGAGGCTGTAAGAGACTGAGAAAAAGAAAGTGAGAACAGCAAACTCCAAGGTGAAGCCCTGTGAAAGTGTTATTGGAGAATTGAGTGGATTGCCCTACTCCTTTGCTAGTGAGAGTGGGGTTCTTGGGGTACCACTGGAATAAGAATTTCCAGAGGCCGCCACGGGAAGATGAGATGTGGTAGAAAGCTTTATTTGCATGGAATTACATCCCTTGGTTTGCAAAGCCCCATTTCCCTTAACCCAGTCCTGGAAAAGGTACAGCTGGGGATTCAGTAGAGCTAAAAGCAAAGCCAGTATCCAGAGTTTCTGTTCCATGGTGGAGCTGGGTCCAGTATAGTATCAGACTAGTTGTAGTCCATCAGTCCATTGTGTGTGGGGTTCACAAGGCCATGAGCCATGTGGGCAAATGCAGGGGAGTATGCCCCCTGCAACAAGAGAGCCTGCAGCCCAGTGTGCAAGAGCAACAAGAGAGCTCCTTTGTTCAGCTTATGTATCTTAAATTTTCCCAAGTTTTTAGTGGCCTGTTCTGGCCAATGACCTGCTCCCAGGTGTGACTGACAAACAAGAACCTTTCCTATGTCACCCAGACCTTACTGGGCATGCGTCTATTTTCCCTTGTCTAGTCCCTCTCCCCAGGATCCGGGGGGACAGACCTGCAGCTTCCTGGCATAAATGGCATGCCTACATGATCTGGCCTTCCCTTTTTCCCTTTCCTGTTAATTAATAACCAGGTTATTTACAACAATATCAAAAGGAAGGCTACTTTAGGGTAGAAGAGGCTTAAGCATTCTTATAGGATGAGGAGAGGAACCTGAAGACACTCAGAAACTAAACATACCTGAAAGGGAATAAATGATAGCACAAGACCTCACAAAATTCAGGAGATGAGATAAAAAGCGAAAAAGGGTTAATATTGGAAACAAAGAATAAAAGTGCTTCCTTTAAGATAGAAAGGAAGCTGAAAAGACAAAAGACCTGTAAAGAAAGAGACAAATAAGACTCTGGAGTTGTTCATGTTATATGACATGTATTTTCTCCATGAATTAAGACAGTTTCTGGCAGCCCTATGGAGCATGCCCAAGACTTTCCCCACCCCTTCTTTCCCCAGGGCACACAGAGTGCTCCCCCATGTTCCCTCATGCTCCCTCATTCTCATTCCCTCTCTCCCCCCCCCCATTTCCCCTCTCCCTCTCCACCCAAACCTCTCCTCCCTCTTTTATCTCTGAAGGCACAGAATCTGTCTCCTGAGCTCCAAGGGCACCTTCTTTTTCTCTAACTTGTTTCCCAAGCCAATTTCGTCTACAGCTCACTACTTCTACCTCTGTGATTTTCTAAATAAACTTTTTCCTGTTAAAAAAAAAAAAAAAAAGGTAGCATCATCTGTTTAGTAGGAGGATGGAGTCTTGTTGGACTAGGAAACTTGAAGGGGAAAGTAAATTTGAAATAATCACACAGAGTAGGAAAAGGGATGACTAGCACTTACCAAAGCACTACTAAAAAAGCTCAGATTACTAATATGGAAATACTGCAATACCACTAATCAGGTTGAAATATATGAAGCAACCGTAGTTTTAATAAATAAGGTACATATAGGAATGCAACCTGGCCTCTGTCATTGCATTTATTTAAAAGTTTAAGTGTGGGCACTTAGAACAAAACAAGATTAATAATAAAACAAAACAATGAGAATTTAAGTTTCAGTTCCTGAAATGATAGTACACATTAAGTAGTTCTGAGTTAGAGCTCAAAATACTAGATCAATAAGATCTAATTAACATGTGCACCTAAGAACTCCTTAGTTATTTGTTTAAACAATGAGACATACTAAGGGCTACATACATACACTATATAGTTCCTTTGGTATTACACAAAACTTTTCCTTAAATAATGCTTCACCTTTGCAATAAATCCTTTCTTTGTCAACCAAGCATATAAGTAGACAGACCTACTTACTGGATGGTATGCCGAGTTAAAATGTTTATACAATACCTTGACATTTCAATTACATGGGTAAGCCTTTAGATTTAAATAACAGCTTCAAAAATACACCACCATCCTCTCCAGTGCAATAAAAGGAAAAAGGTCATTAATTCCACCAGCTTCTTTAATACTAACTACTGCACTAAAAATCCTTAGCTCCTTCTTAATGGCATAATATGTATTTTTAAAATATTAACTCTTCCAAAACTGGACATCCTGATAAGACAGAAACATATATTAAAGTCTTCAAGTCTCAATAACTTTTCCCTTTAACATTAAACTTCAGGAAAAAATAGGTTAGTTTTGGACAAGAGTAATTTATTTTGCTAAATGCCTTCCTTAATTGTACATTTGCTTCTTTATTTAGAAAAATATTAATCTGGTTATATTTTCCCCTATTATTAGAAGGAAATGAAGAATTAAGACATTGACAATTCTGAAATGCCTGCTATCACAGTTCAGCTGTGTAGATGTTAAATGAAGGAAGCATTATAACATCGTTACCCAGGAAGATTATCTTTTACAACAGAGAAAAATAGTTCTTAAGTAATCACTACAATCCCATCAATGATTCATATACTAAAATCAATCTCCACGTCTTTCATTATTTTGCCTTCATTATTATCAATAGTACAAAGCTAACATTTCAAGACCATCAGTAAAAATGGGCATAAATGATTTTGCAATGCTACCAAGGTAAATCCTTGTTGAAAGTAACTGCGACCGCAAAAACAGAACAAAATTATTTCACACTACTCTACATATCAGGCTATTATTTTCAACAGCATTTGTTTTGACACCAGAATTTTTAGTTTTATATATCACCATAATCATTAAAACATAATTAAATGACACACAACCTACTCTTCCAGTATTTTAAAAACCATTTTAATCAGCCTTTCGGTTGTTATGTTAAATCTCCCCAGTAATTTAAAAAAAAAAAAAAAAATCCCTTCTTATCCCTTTCTTTGTACACTGGCTGAAGTAGCCCCTACAGAGAGGACCCTTTCTCCACGTTCACTTCATTTCTTTTCCACTATTTGCCAACGTGTTTACAGAGGCCAGGACTTGCAGTAAAAATCTACAGGTTTGGGGGAGCTATTATCAAGGCCATCAGCTACAACCCCACACCCATCCTCCTCCAGTAAAGACGGGACACTGAGGAGCGATTTGCTCCGCCCTCACTCAGCCTCAAGCCACACACAGGTTTGGTCTATTTTGGCAGATAGCAATAGCAATGCAAGTACTTTTTCCTCCATTTCTGCAAAAAAAAAAAAAAAAGCTAAAGAATAAGAAGGAGTGAAAAGCATGAAGGAAAAAACTCCAGAGAATGAAGTTTTACCTCAGAACATTATCTCACTATAAAGAGGGGAGGGGAGGGAGGAGGAGAGGGTTGGGCTCCACACTTCTGCGCCCGACAGAAATCACTGCACGTCCACCGCTTTGGCTAAGCCCTGATAGGCACCAAAGTCGGCGGGTTCACTCACAGAAAGTGGCATCAGTCTCACAGCCTTACTCTGAGCAACTTCAGACTATGGGTGCTGAGAAGCACACCGCCGGGAGAAAAGCCCACTGAGGTTTCTCCGCGGCACTTATCCTCGCGGACAAGACGTCGGTCGCAGGGTTCCCCTCGAGCTCCCGGTTTCAGGTCACACTGCGGCGTAAGGTGGGGGACCGAGAGAAGGGGTACACGCCCGAAGGTGGGGACACGGTGCAAGCCGAGGGAGGGGGGCAGGGACAGAGTCCGAGAGTGAGTGAGGGGGCGCGGAGGCGCAGCAGCCGCTGCAGCGGGTGTGTCCGCCCGCGGGCACGTGTCCGC